ATCACTTTTATTTTATCATAAGAGGATTGTTTAGTGGGTATTTGTTCATCCAGATCATATAGTGAATTCTTTTACTGTAATGTTTTGAGGTGAATGCATGAGAATGCTCATTTCAAAAGATCAGAACTGTAACACAACCAAACCTAGTTCCTTCATCATAACAATGCTTTTGAACATACAGCCTTCAAAACATAACGGCTTTTGGCAAAACATGACCATCTCTCATATCTTCCTTTAATGCTGGATTTAGCCCCTCTCGTGGTTTTTTCCCTCCAGAATGAGATTGAAGCTCAATACATTTCAATACATTCAAGAAGATCAAGTCTAAATTGCAACAAGTACTTTGAAATTTTCAAAACAATGACTTAAGACTTGACAGAAATAGTGGGATTCTGTATAAATGTAGGAGAAACTACTTTAAAGTAATAGTAGCCAGATTTAAATTAGTTAAGTATTAAAATCCTTATAGACCAAATCTAGTTTATTTTGATCACACTATGTACTTCTTTAGGACTGAGATACTAAGCTGTTGAGGAGTTTCCTTTAAAGACACCAGGGTTCAAAAGAAAATTGCTTATACGAATATAATCATAAAAAAGTTTTTTTATTAGACTGCATAAACAAACATTATAGTACTGTGAATTATAAAAGAATAAGACTAAACTGAACTCTGTCACAACAGCTTATGAATATATCATGACCTATCTGAAATGTCCCAATTGATATAGAAAAACAGTTTTCTAATTAAAAATGTTAAAAAATTTAATTCTGCTTTGGTTACCATATAAATATAGAAATTTGCACATAATAAGATGAAAGGAAAAATTTTGTTTAACCCAGTCTCCAAAGTTCATTTAGTCACTGCAGCATGGTTTAATATTTTCTTATTTCAAAAATGTAGTCAAAGAAATATGTGCCGTTCTGAAAGGGATGACACCAGTAATGTGGATAAAGGATATCTTTCTAGTAATCCTCCATGAGAATGGTATAGACATTTGTAGTATGTGTAGTATTGAACTGCATGCTTCAAAATCACGATTTTTTAATGAACTCAAATACAAAGTCAATAGCCTAGAAACTAACATGGAGATTTCCCAAGAAAATAAATTACAGAAATTTTCCAATAAATTTTTTGTGTAAAAACTAGAGACATTGGTGATTTGAAAAACTAAATAAAATGTTAAAAAATTAAATCCAACATAATACCAAAATTTTCTCTAAACAAAAGCTAAAAAATATTGTATTATGCAAAATTTGCCACAATTCTTTACTTCTATAGTATGATTTTGCTGTAACATAGGTAATAAGTCTGTATATGATTAATAGTACAGTGGGTAATTGGTTTTTTTTTTTATGGTTTTAGGCCCCTTACCACTCAGAGAGCACAAAGAGGCCAAGAGTGGATGATTGGTTAATGAACAATTTGGATAGTGAACAAATCGGATAAAGAACACTTTAGCGAAAGATTTTTATGATCGGACAACGAACACATGTTCAGATAAAGAACACTTTACTGAACAAACATAAAAAGAAGCAATGGAAAATAATGAATACCAATTGATTTTCTCTTGTCTTCGGGTAACAATTCGAAACCTTTCAGAGTGGGGGAGACGTCAACATAGACACTCAACCCAATACCGATCAGATAGTATCCCTCCGAATTTTGAAACTCTCCCTTGTAATTCCAGCTTTTTGTTTACCTTTCTAATAAATAACTTTTTATAGTCTTCACAAGACTGTTGGACAGGTACTTGTTAAGTTTTGTGTTAAGGTTTATTTACAAAAGGTGAAAGCTTAACTGTCCCATCAGATATTTGTTCACATTTTAATACCAAATTTCGAATTTCATCCAGGCCTTGCATTTAAATAATATTTTGTGGGCTTGTTGATTTCTGTTCTCTGAATTTTTGTAAGTGCTTTTCTGAACTTTTTATTTAAAAAATAAACTGATAATATTATGGAGCCTAAAAAAGAGCAGTGTCAAGAACTGTGCTCACTGTAGAAACAAAGTAAGAGATAATAGCCAAGGTAGAAAGTGGGCAAAAGATATCTGATGTTGCTAGGCAGTATGGCTTAAACAGGTCTACAGTAGGCACAATCTTAGCTATGAAAGATATATCAAGAAGTCTCAAGCTGTTAATGGAGTAACAAAAATCACATCTGAGAAATAAAGAGCATTTTAGAGCTCATAATGGAACTTAAAACTGATCTGACGACAGAAGAACTCCAGGGATGTCATAACAACAATCATCCAAGTGGCATCCAAACCAGAATAAGGTTAATGGGGTTGGTGATCTCCACAATTACCTCTGAAAAATCCTGAAGAAGAGAAAAAAGTAATTGACATTGGACAGATTCTTTAACCCCAATAAACGGAAAAAACATGACTAATAAAAATGCAAGACTGCATATATATGTATTTTTACTATTACATATAAATAAACTTAGTAAGAAAGTATAAACTTTTTATTTTTTAGAGTCTCCGGAATGAATTAATCAAATTCCCATAAAAATCTATGGTAAATTGATAATTGGTTAAAAAACAGGTTTGGAATGGATTTATGTTTGTTAACCGATTACCTACTGTAAATGGTGTATTGTAATATGATTTTCAATGTATGAAATTTTTTACTCAAATAATTTTTTAAAATTAACTTATAAGAATTATTATACTTTTTAAAATTATTTAACATATTTATTAATTATTAAAATTATTTATAGATGAGCAAATACTTATCTTTATTGTCAAATCAAACTAATAATTAAAAGATTTAATAGCAATATACTTTAATGGAAGAGAAGAGAAAGAACATTCCAAAAGAGAAGTAATTCTAATGTATATCCAAGGAGTCCAATATATAAAAATCAGGTACAGTACAAACAGATTTACTATATATAAAAGAGAAACTCAGCAAGAGAGCAAAAATAAATAAATAAAAATAAGAAAAAAGACCGAACTTTGCCTATCAGTTATTTCATACATTAAAATTGACCAATATTGAATGTCATAGTCACTTTGTTCAGAATTCTGATGAAATTCTTAACCATTCTTCATATTATTAATGCCATTATTGTTGTCATTTTATAGATTAATAAAAATACAGGAAAATGCATTTAGATATAATTCAGTATTTTAACATAAACTTTAAAGAATTCTATCACTTGCTTTCTTATTACATGTATTTTTTGATTCCACTTTGAATATCACCAACATTTGTAACCAAAGTATGAAAACTNATTTTATTACTTATATTCAACAATAAACACTTATTTTTCATATACAGTGCATTTGTGTATAAATATGTCTAGAGCCTAAAAGATTCTCAATATTCTTAATGAAACCTATTTTTCTATCATATATTTTGTATGATAAAACTCATCTAGGTTATTATTAAAAGAACAGTAGATCATATTCTAGATTATTATTAGATTTAATGTAACAATATTGTAAATGATACATAGAAGATTAACAAAATTAAAAGTCATATCTAGTATTTGACAAGCCTTGTACTTTTGTTCATAATGTCCACAGCAGCTAAAATGTTATCATTTGTGTACATTAATTTTTTCCAACAATTGGTTGAGACTCCTGTACAGGTATACCTCGCCTTATGTCGGTAATTGGTTCCAGGAGAGGCGACGTAAGTCGAATTTACTTGTCTCCGAATCTACTTGTCACTAGGCTAAACCATAAATTACCATTCCCGGTTCTGCATTTTATTTATTAATGCATTTTTAATAACATATGGTTAATAAGGATCTATTTTAAGCTTACAAACAAATAAATTTTAGTTTTTAATATAGTATAGAAAAAAGTAATCTAAATTTACGAATGCATGTACTGTAAATACAGTACATACTTGTAAATGTATATATTTTAATATGATTTTATGTACTTTAAATGCTTTTCTAGTGATATTACAACTTCAATATTTGTGG